AAAGTAAAAATTTTATTGTAAGCTGGGCATGGTACATGCCTGTAGTCTCAGCTACTCAGGAGATGCTGGAGAAGCCCTTGAATGCCCAAGTTCAAGATCAATCTGAGCAATATAGCAAAGCCCTGTCTCAAAAAAAAAAAAAAGTTTACTTTAACATATGAGACTGGGAGCGTAGCTTAGTGGTAGAGCACTTGTCTGTTATGGGTTAACAGAAGGAGGGGAATTAGTTAAGAAACACAGCACTTCAAAATAATCTGAAGAAAATTAAGGTCTGAATAAGAAAAGAATTTATTTCCACCATGTGGCCTAACCACAGTCTTTGAATACATGTTTATATGAGTAGTTTCTTCTAAGCACCAGGTAACCACATCTGTGCCTCTACTTTTTATGTCCATTCTAGTTTACAGAACCTGAAGATATGTCCTTGCATTCTTACTGTTTGAACGTGAAACAAAGCAAGTACAATTTTGTCAGTTCTAAATCACCATTCTAAAACAGTGTAACAGAAGTGTGGCCCTCCAGCTTACAGATTTCATACCATCTGTTTCTCATCCATCAGCAGATGCTTCCAAGTATACTGTTATTCTTTCACATGATTGGCGCTGGGATTTTGGATGGTTTTTATCTTAATGATGTGCTTATTTTTAGTATAGCCTAATGAGTATCATTTTCTCTTTTCATTGGCTCTTATTTCTGTTGAATACTGCTTCATTACTTAAATGAACCCGCTTGGAACATTTTACTTTAAATTGTGTGCGTGAGTGAGTGCGTGCGTGCGTGCGTGCGTGTGTGCGTGTGTGTGTGTGTGTGTGTGTGTGTGTGTGTACAGGCACGTGCCATAGCATATGTGTGATGGTCAAAGTATAACTTGTGGGTGTTTGTTCTCACCTTCTGCCATATGAGTCCTAGGGATGTAATTCAAGATGTCAGTCTTGGTGGCAAGCACTTTATCCTCTGAGGTGTGTCTCTGCCCCACCCCCACCACCTAGTTGAAACATTGTAATGATTAATCCCCACCATCCAGTTGAAATATTGTAATAATTCATGCTTATTCTTTATTTTCATGTGTCTATGCATTTTATTGCAATTTTAAAAAATATTTTATTATTTTTATTTTATGTGTATTAGTGTATTGCATGCATGTATGTGAGTGCACCCCTGTCGTGCAGTGTCACAGAGGTCAGAAGAGGGCTTCAGATTCCCCTGGAACTGGAGTGGAGTTAAGGACAGTTCATAATCACCATGTGGGTGCTGGGAATCAAACCCGGGTCCTCTGCAAGGAGTCAGTGCTCTTAACCGCTGAGCAATTTTTTTAAAAAATGTATGTGGCCGGGCATGATGGTGCATGCCTTTAATCCCAGCAGAGGCAGGGTAGTCCAGGACTACCAGGTCCCAGCCTGGTCTACATAGTGAGTTCCAGGACAGCTGGGGCTACAGGGAGACCCTGTCTCAAAAAGACCAAAAAAAAAAAATTTATGTGTACAAGTATTTTGCCTGTATGTATATAATTGCACGTGTTGTGCAATACCCAAGAAGGCCTGAAGAGAGCCAGATCACCTGGAACTGGAGCTACAGACAGTTGTTAGCTGTCATGTGTGTGCTGGGAACTGAACCTGGGTCCTCTGCAAGAGCAGCCAGTACTCTTAACCACTGAGCCATCTCTCCAAACCTATGTTTTTATTACAATTTTTTTAAAAAAATATTTTATTATTTTTATTTTATGTGTATGAGTGTATTGCCTGCATGTAAGTGAGTGCACCCATGTTGTGCAATGCTGCGGAGGTCAGAAGAGGGCTTCAGATTTCCCTGGAACTGGAGTTAAGGACGGTTTGCAGCCGCCATGTGGGTGCTGGGAATTGAACCCGGCTCCTCTGCAAGAGCAGTCAGTGCTCTTTTAACCACTGAGCTATCTCTCCAGCCCCTTTAAAAAGAATATTTTTATTTATTTATTTTTATCTTATGTGTATGAGTGTTTTGCCTGCATGTGTGCAATACCCATGGAGGTTAGAAGAGGGTATCTGATCCCCCAGAGCTGGAGTTACCGTTGTGAGTCACAATGTGCGTGCTGGGAACTGAACCCTGGTCCTATGCAAGAGCAGCCAGTGAGTGCTGTTATCCACAGAACCATGTGTTCAGCCCCTTAATTACAATTTTTAGTGGCAGTTTTATTTTGAGATAGCATGCAGTTAGCTTTCACCCAATTGCACATTGTAAAACTCATACAATATCATAGTCAGTATACTGATGTTGATGCATTCTATAGCTCTTACACATCCCCAGGTTTGACTTGTACTCTCTTGTCTCTGTGTTTTTGTGCAGTTTTGGAACAGTATGTAGGCTTGTGTATCCACCATCTTGGATTTAGTTTGCAAAACTAACCATGCGACTGCCTCATGAATAAGCAGCTGCTTTCCAGAACAGTTCTGCCCATAAGGATCCTTCATGTTGCTCTTTTATGTCCGCAGTCACCTCTGTTTCTCTGCCACTCACCATCCCTATTCCTTGGTAAAATTTCTGTCTTCCTGGTCTCTGATTTTCTCATTTTGAGGGCATTATGTACATCGAATCATATAGTATCTTATAATAATCATACAATGTAGTCTTTTGGGATTGTCTTCTCTCAATAGCATAATCACTTCAAGATTCTTCTAAATTTTATTAAAAATAGTCTGTTCCTTTTTCTGCTGACAAGTACTCCATGGTAATTATATGCCAGAGTTTGCTGTGCAACCCTTGAAGGATATCTGAAACATTCATTCTTGTACAGGTTTTTTGAGTGGACACAAATGTTCTTTTCTCTGGGATATGTGTCTAGGAGTGCAATTGCTTTTTTATATATTAGGTGCATGTTTTGTTCTATAAACAAAAACAGCCAGTTTCCAAAGCTTCTTTACCATTTCGTATCCTCCCATCAGTGTGTGAGTGATCAGTTCTTGGTATCCTTACCACTGTTTGATGTCACTGTTTTTACTTTTAGCTATTCTGATAGGTGTATGGTTATTTTAGCATGTATTATTCAAATGGCTGATGATGCTAAGCATCATTCTGCTTGCTTATCTGCCACCTATATCCACATAGGTGAAATGTATGCTTTGCCTGTTATTTAATTGGATTCTTAAAAAAAACAAAACAAAACTGGTGTGTGTGTGTGTGTGTGTGTGTAAATAACTCGCAGGAGGTGGTTCTCTCCTAACATGGTCATGGCAGCAAGGACCCTTACCCACTGAGCCATCTCACTGCCTATTACTTGCATTCTTTTTTAATGTTGTCTTAAGAATCCCTGCATATATTAGTAGATGTTTGTCTTTTGTCTGTTTCACAAATACTTCTCTTGGTCTGTACTCACTTTTCATCTTTTTACCAGAATCTTTTAGAGGACAAGTTTTTAGTTTGATATGCTCCAGTTTCTTATCGTTTCCTTTTATACATTCTTTGGTATTAAATCCGAGAACTTTTTGCATAGTGCTAGATCCTGAAGATTTTCCATGCTTTTTCTGAAAGTTTTATGTTTAAGTCTGTGATCCATTTTGAGTTAGTTTTTTGCTGAACATAAGAAGTTTAAGTTAAGATTTATTTTTTCTTCCCCTCATGGACATTCAGTTGCTATAGTACCATTTCAAAAGTCTACCCTGCCATCATTCATTTGTTTATATATCATTTTTTTAAAATGATGTGAATAGAGGCTGGAGAGAGGCTCAGCAGATAAGAGCACTGATTGCTCTTTCAGAGTACACAGGTTTGATACCCAGCACCCATGTGGCAGCTGACAACTGTCCATAACTCCAGTTCCAGAGGATCCTGGAATACCCTCTTCTGACCTATGCAGGCATTGATTTACGCAGTTGCACTTACATGCAAGCAGGACACTCGTACACATAAAATAAAAATAATAAATGTTTTTAATCTTAAAAAAGTCACCTAAATATATTTGTATGACTATTTGGGGCAAGGTTTCCAATGTTCACAAATGTGAAAGAGTAGAAAACGAATCTTCTTAAAATCATACTTTTCAAAAATATCCCTTATAAATACTTTCCATGTTATTAAAATGTTTCTTAACACTTTTTAATGATCTTCTAATATTCTTTATTGTGTTATCATTTTGCTGTTTAAGATGTAATGTCTTTGCTCATGAAAGTTTTTAGTATTTTTTTTCAGAATCTTGATATCTCATTGCCCATAAGAGATTTTACCCCTTTTTGTTCTATTATGTGCTATAGGCAAAACAGTACTAGAGTTTTGAGAATTTTCCTGATTTTTAAAAAATCATATTTTACTTATCTGTGTGTCTGTGTGCTCGCTCATATATGTGCATCTTCCCAGGTGCCCCAACCCCCTGCAAACACCACAGGCTATGTATGGAGGTCAGAGGGACAGACAGACTGTAGGAGTCAACCCTCTCCCTCTACCGTGTAGGTTCCAGGGATTGAACTCATGTAGTCAGGGTTGGCAACAGGCACCCTTCTTACCTGCTGAGCCATCTTTCTGGGCCCCTAACTTGCTTTCTAAATTTAAATTTTCAGATTATTCAATTATTCCTTACTAGCCATGAGTTTGACTAGAGTGAAATTGTGTGAAAACTTTAGTGTTTGGTACTAAAATAATATACACATAGTATTTATCCATATAAGGAATGTAATTTGTATTTTAGACAATTTATAATAAAATTCAGGTTTTTTTAAATAAATGGTTTGTTTTAAAAGTTGCTTTAACAAAAACAAAGCAGAAGGGACTGCTGAGATGGTTCTGCAGATAACGATATCTGCTGCCAAGCTTAGCAGCCTGCGTTCAATCACTAGATCCACATGGTGGAAGGAAAGAACTGACTCCTGCAGGTTGTCCTTTGACACATGTCCATGTGTTCATGTACGTGCCATGGCAGGAGCACACACTAAATAAATAAATAAATAAATAAATGCAAATTATGACAGAATTTCAGTATGGTTGCTTCAAATTTAGATTTATGCTTTGATCTTAGAATTGTTGTCTCACTTATACAGAAAGCAATAGATCTTGCAAGCAAAGCGGCCCAGGAAGACAAAGCTGGGAACTATGAGGAAGCCCTTCAACTCTATCAACATGCTGTTCAATATTTTCTCCATGTTGTTAAATGTAAGGTCATGTTTTATTTATTTAAACTTTTGTAGTAAAAGAAAACAAAACTTTCATTTATAAAAATTAAAATGCAAAACTCTGGGAATTCTAAAAATCTAAACTACCCATCTGTTTAAAAAAAATACAGGGCTAGAGAGATGGCTCAGTGCTTAAGACCACTGACTATTGCAAAGGACCCAGGTTTGGTTCCCAGCAGCCACATGGCCGCTAACAACGGTCCTTTGAGCATTTCCATTTAAGGGGAAGGGGGAGGGTTTATGTTAAAGTGAAACTGAGAATGAATTAGGACACACTTATTAGGAACTTGTAAATAGTCCCATGCATTGCTTATATTGTTGAAGTCCTCTTTTGAAAATAGCCGCAACAGAGGCCTTTATGTAGTGAAACTGCATTTTGGTGTTTCATATGTATTTGATTTCTATCACTTTGTGGGAGTTTTTTATATTATTTTTATTTTATGTGTATGAATGTCCTGATGTAAGTGCATACTTGTTGTGAAGTGCCCACAGAGGTCAGAAGGGAACATTGAATTCTCCTGGAACTGGAGTTACTGACAGTTGTTAGCTGCCATGTGGGTGCTGGGAATCAAACCTGGGTCCTCTACAAGAGCTGCCCTTAACTGCTGAGCCGTTGCTCCAGCCCCAATTTCTATTACTTTGTATGCTCTGGAATAAAGCTGACATAGACTTTGATGGAACTGGTTACTGCTGCTTTACTTCTGATTATCTTTCTTTTTGATATTGATATTTCAGTTTTAAAATTTGTTATTAACAAATTAATTTTACCTATCAGTGGGTTGGTGTGGTATTTCAACATATGCATAGTGTACATGGATCAAATCCAGCTTCCCCTTTTTCTAATTCCCCCTGCCCCCGACACACACACACCTTTCTCAACATTTAGCAATGACTACTCAACATTCGGGTTGTTTGTTGTCTCTCTTGTGATTAGTTTTATGTATGACATCTTTCAGCCATCTGTAAACTGTAAGGTAAGAATTTGAAACCTATAGAAAATTAAATAATTTCTTATTATTTAACATTAACTTTAAAATACCATCTTACTCAGGTCTTCTTTTGACTCAGATCCACTGTAGGTCTCCAGTCCTAGGGGAGGGAGCAGAAAAGATTTGGTAATCATTGGTTACAACAGATAAAAGGTGCTTGCTTTGTCCTATCTCCTCCAACATGGAATTTTCTGTTTAAAAGAATATCCTATAATAGTTTGAACCTTTCTGACTGGATACTATAATTAGGTACTTTTTCTGTTGCTGTGATAGAATACCCTGACAAAAAGCAGGTTTGGAAAGAAGGGGTATATTTTGGCTTACAGTTTCAGAGGGGATGCAGTCCATCACCACAGGGAAGGCCTGACAGCAGGAGTCAGGAAGCAGACTGAAAACATTTTATCCATATACAGGAAGCAGAAACAGAAAACAGGAAGTGGGGCCATTAAAACCTCCAGTGACATATTTCCTCCAGCAAGACTCCACCTCCTGATACTTCCACAAACTTCCCAAACAGCATCACCAATTGGGTCCAAGTATTTGAACATATGAGCCTCTGGGGCACATTTCACATCCAGGCAGCAACAACAAACACTAATGAAATGGCATCTCATTCCCTTCCACAGATGAAGCACAAGGTGATAAAGCCAAACAAAGTATTAGGGCCAAGTGTACAGAGTATCTTGATAGAGCAGAAAAACTAAAGGAGTATCTGAAGAAAAAAGAGAAAAAACCACAGAAGCCAGTGAAAGAGGGACAACCAAGTCCACCTGATGAGAAGGGGTATGTATTCTGCAGTGTGAGATCTTATTGTAGCTTCTGATTTTTCATTTGTGAAATACATTTCTTTTGTTTAAACCAGGTATTGGTGAACCATGGTTGATGAAGCAGAGTAAGCTTGTCCATTGTAGTCATTAGTTGTGTTCAGAAACAGCCTTGCACTTTCATTAATACATTGCCACCACAGACAGCTCTCATGCTGCACAACAGAGCTAAATGGTTGCAATAGACTGTGAAATTCAACTCAGTTTTACTAATATTTGCCTAGTAAACACCATTTAAAGGATACGAAGAGTGTAAGAATTAGAGGTGACTGATAACTTTATATAGCAGAGTTTGAAGAAACTTTATATTCTCTGTTCAAGGCATGGTTAGGAAACCAGTGAGTTTCTGTGACACCTTAAGATTAGTTTGTCTTCATCACATTGATATAACAAAACTCAGATCCCAGCCCAATTTTACAAATTACTGAATCTCAATTTAGCATTTCTTATGTTTAAAAAAAAAGAAACAGTAATTCCCAACATGAAATGAAAATATTGGGAAGAATTCATTGGGAATTCAGTGGGAATATCGGAACCTCCCTCCGATCTCAGTGAGATTTCCTGGCCAGCAGAAGCATTTGTTCCTCCTGTCTGCTGGGACACATGAAGACCTTGTTATCCTCTCTCCTGTGACGGCTGCCTGAACTACACTAACAATCTTAATTACAAGCAGAAGGACTCGTGTGACTTAGTTTGATTTTAAAACGGGTTTCTTATAGGCTATTACCTTACAGAATTTTGAGTCCCGTGAATCAAACTTGGGTTCCACATGACTTGGAGAAAAACCCAATCTATCATGTAATATGCAGCTGGGAATTCATGCCTATTGTGTATGGTGTTTGAGTAGAGAGCCTGCTGCTGCCACCAAGCATCTTGAGGTCTCAGAAATATGCAGTAAGACCTCTGACTCAGTTCCCTTAGGAAAACCAGTGGTCTCACTTGAAGGTTTGGTCTCCATGCAAGCAGCTCTCACCTTTCTGAGGAGCTTGAGTCCCATGTAGAGCCCTGCCTGCAAGGGAGCCTACAAAGGGCAGTTTGTTTTAATACAGTCTTGACAGTACAAGAAAGCATTACAGGAGTTTGAAATGCTCTCCAGTGACCTGGCTCTCATTATTTACATCACACAACACTGCCATCCTGCAGATGACCTGGGTGTAAGTCCTGCCAAGTTTTTTGTCCCATTTTGTATTAAAGTTTGAAGGTTGATAGGACTTTTTTCCACCTTTATCCCCATTTCACCCAACATTTTATCAGGAACATTTTCCATTCATTGTTCTACAGCGTAGTTTTCGAAAGCAGCAGCATGTTCTATCATCACTTATCTCTATAACTAAACAAAATTTATTTATTTATTTTTTCCTTTCTCGGTTGTGCTATATGTATGTTTATCCTTATAGTCAAATCTTTATTTCCTCAGGATGCGTTCCTGGATGTGAAATAGTGGGTTGACTGTATTTCTTTAGCATTCATAAGATTTCATTCAGAAGTGTTAACTACCCTTGGGAACCTCAGACTAACAGTTATAGATCTTTGTTCTTTAGGTAATTGTGTATGTTCATTCTCCTTCTAGCAGGAATTCTTGTCAGGTTATAATTTATCTGATCCTGATGTTTTATTGCTATCCAACTCCCCTGTACTTTTTTTGGTCTTTTTGAGACAGGTCTCCCTGTAGCCCCAGCTGGTTTGGAACTCCCTATGTAGACCAAGCTGGCCTCCATCTCACAGAGATTTGCCTGTCTCTGCCTCCTGAGTGCTGGGATTAAAGGTGTGCATTACCATGCATAGTGTGTACTTTGTTATTCCTCCCTGGAGTTGTATGTAGTTTTGTGTTCATGAGTATGCATGCATGAGTATATACTTTATGTGCTAGCTTCCTGTTTTAACATATTCTTAAAAGTATCCAGTAAAGCACTTTAATGTTTGTCTTGCCTCTGAAATCGCAAACATTTCAGGTTATCTCTCCTTTACTTTTGCATTCCTTATTCACAGTGACTGCTTATTTGAATGTATTAAATTCTTTTTACTAGGAATGAAAGTGATGGGGAAGCAGAATCTGATGATCCTGAAAAAAAGAAACTACAAAATCAACTTCAAGGTTACTTTAGATTTTGTTTTTAAATTTACTGTTTTATTGAAAAGGCTTATAAATCATCTATTTTAACTGTTTTTCTTGTTTTCCTTTGCATTTAAATGAGGTTCAAAAATTGGCTTTGGATTGGGCAAGGTGGCACATTGTGCGCCTTTAATCCCAGCACTTGGGAGGTAGAGGAAGGTGTATCGCTGAGAGTTCCAGGCCTACTAGGGCTACATAGTGAGGTCATGTCTCAAAAAAAAAGAGAAAGAAACTGCCTTTTAGTTCCTGCTGGGTCACATACTGTCTTTGTTTCCAGCCTGACTTTGTCCTCACGGGTTTCTAATAATTGAATTTTCTAATAGTTGAAAATAGTTGAATTCTTTCTTTTTTTCTTTTTTTTAATCTCCCTGTAGTCCCAGCTGGGCTAGAACTCAAATATGTAGACCAGGCTGTCCTTGAACTCACAGAGATCCTCCTGCCTCTGCTGCTCAACTGTTGGGATTAAAGGTATACACCACCATGCCTGGCTGGATTTTTAAAAATATATTAAAAATACTGTTTTTAGTTTTGCTTTTAAAAGGCTGTCAGGCAAATTGCTGTCCTTCATTTATTTACCCAGTGTATAACAAGTAGTGTTTATGCTGTTGACACATACAAAGTCTGATGGCATTAAATTGCTGTTGTCCAAGGGACAGAATGGACTAAAAATTGCCCAGTTTTTATTGCCGTTGCTGTGGCTGATTAGCTGATTCATTTTCTCCCTGTTTTTCCTCCTCTGCTTTTCAATGTTTACATACATGTTTGTATCATTATATTTGACATTACTCTTTTCCCTGTTTAACTGTCACAGGTATCAAGGCCCTTCGATTCTGCCCTGCTGCAGTGTAGTGGCAGACTGGAGAGGCTGCAGATCTGGATCTCACTCCAAGGTCTGCCAGGGAAAAGCTTTTTAACTTTGTGCAAGTTCCCTAACCTCTCAGACTCTGGGTCCCCATCTCAAAAATAGACATTCCCACCTTTCTCTCAGAAAAGATTAGTGACAGTGTAGAAGGATCTTTAACAAATTCTAGAGGGTTAATAAATAGTAGCTCAGTATCTCTAAAAAGGCATCTGTTTAATTGCTGGTTTCTTTAATTACCGAGATGTGACTGTTCTTTGGTATGTTAGCTAAGGTTATCAAATAAACTTTTATGTTCATTAATTGGTAGTATGTATTTGTACCTTTGAGTCTTACCTAATAAAATACATAACAAGGAAGAATTTCCATTTTGTAGGCCCAGCCTTGATTACTGAACAGTGGGAAGGAAAAAAAGTAGACACCCTCCCCCCGACACACACATCTGTACATATACAGAGAGAACTTAGCCAGACCATGAACCTTGCAATACTGCTCCCTTCATTTGGGGATATCTGTGTTACACACTCCATTGGGATGTATAGAACAGTACAGAGTACCTTGGAAACAGTACAACTTATGAGCAGATTTTTTATATGCCAAGAACTTGAGTGGCAGATAGATACAGTCCAAGGGGAAAACTGAGTTTCCCCTGCTGCGTGCTGTGCTCACTGCACACTCGGTGTGTGTGTCAGAATTTACCAGCGGTCTGTGCCAAGTGGTCTATTTGAGTTGTAAGACAAATGCTGTTTTCTGTCTGCCTTGCTGATTTGGGTTTGGTTTTTTCCCCATCCTTCCCCCTACCAAGTGAAAAGTACATTGTGTATTCAGTTTTGAAAAAAAATACAAGCAGGGCTGGAGAGATGGCTCAGCGGTTAAGAACACTGGTTGTTCTTGTAGAAGACCAGGGTTCAAATCCCAGCACCCACATGGAAGCTAACAACTGTCTGTAACTCCAGTCCCAGGGGATCCGACAGCCTCTTCTGACCTCCGTAGGCATTACACAACATGGGTGCACTTACCTGTGTGCAGGCAATACACGCATACACATAAAAATAAAAATAGCCAGGTGTGGTGGTGCATGCCTTTAATCCCAGCACTTGGGAGGCAGAGGCAGGCGGATCTTTGTGAGTTTGAGGCCAGCCTGGTCTACATAGTGAGTTCCAGGCCAGCTAGGGCTACAGGGAGACCCTGTCTCAAAAAAGACAAAAAATAAATAAAAATGTTTTTTAAAATGCAAGCAGTTTTTAACAGATTTCTGTGAATTCCCCGTCAGTTATAAATTCAGTGAAATTTTTTTTTTTAATGTGTAAGAGTGTATTGCCTGCATGTATGCGAGAGCGCCTATGTTGTGCAGTGCCAGTGAGGTCAGAAGAGGGCTTTGGATTCCCCTGGAACTGGAGTTAAAGATTGTTCCTAACTGCGATGTGGGTGCTGGGAATCGAACCCAGGTCCTCCTCTGCAAGAACAGTTAGTGCTCTTAACCGCTGAGCCATCTCTCCAGCCTTGACTTTTTTTTTTTAATTACAAGTAATTTAAACATTTAAATGTGGATATTTATTTGGAATCTCATGATGAGAAAGGAGTTTGAGCCTTTTGTGTGATGTTTTGTTTTTATTTTTTCACTTTTTTTGTTTTTGTTGTTTTTTGTGGTTTTGTTTTTGTTTTCAAGACAGGGTCTCACATAGCCCAGCCTCAAACTTTCTATACAGCTGAGAGTTACCTTAAGTTTCTGATCCTACTGCCTCTACTCCCTAAATATTGGGATTAGAGGTGTGTGCCACCATGCCCAGTTTTTATCTGTCTTTTTTAATTTAATGGATTTCATTGTATAGACATTGCTAAAGTTCTTACTACACAAGCATAAGAACCTGAATTCAATCCCCCAGAACTCACATAAAAGAGCCAGGCAAGATGGCATGCACTTGTAATCCCAGTACTGGGGAGGTGGAGACAGGTGGATCCCTCAGGTTTGCTGGCCAGCCAGCCTGGCCTGCCTGGTAGATTCTAGGCCAGTGAGAGGTCTTGACTCAAAAACAAGGTATATTGACTCCTGAGGAAAGAACCCTGGGTTGACCTCTGGCCCCCACATGCGTATGCCTATGTGACTGCACACCACACATAAATAACAAATACTATATGCATTTTTGAGTCTTCTCTGCTTCTGAAATACTATTTTACTTATGTTTTAGATTATAACACATTAATTGATTGATATAATTAAAAATGGAAGTATAGTTTTAATTTTCTGCTAGATAAAGTAGATATTCAGTGACTTTTAAGGTTAAATAATATTTGCATTTTTGTGCTTATTTTTTAAGTATGTACATATATGTTTGTGCACATGCCATGACATATATGTGAAAGTCCTTGCAAGGAGGCTATTTTCTCCTTCCACTGTATGAACCAGGATCAAACTCAGATCAACAGGCTTGGCAGCAAGTGTCTTTAACTGCTGAGCCATCTTGCCAGCCCCTTATTTTACAAACCATTAAGTTTTGTCTAGCATTTAATCTTTTATAACTAAATACTGCAAAATCACCTTTAAACTTTTAGAAAAGTATTAATTAAATATGGAAATAAATTATGCATGCTTTGTGTATGTGTATGTGGGGAGGTGGGTATGTGTTGCTATGGGGGGGTGCACATGTATGTAGATCAGAGATTGATGTCTGGTGTCTTCTTTGATCACTCTCTACCTTATATATTGAGGCCTAGTTTCATTTGAACCCAGAGCTCACCATTTCAACTAGTCATCCTAGCCAGTTTGCTCTAGAGATCCTGACTCCATCTCCCAATACTGGGATTACATGCAGGCCCCCATACCTACCTGGCATCCTGTGTTGTAGCTAAAGTTACTGTGAGATTATTAATCTTAATGGACTATAAAAAATATATATTGACTTTTTAATACTAAACTGAACTTTTATGATATGAAAATATTTATGATTTTGTTCAATTTTAGTATAATAACCAAAGATTTTTTATCATTTAGGAAAGTCAAATTGAGTAAGAGGTAATATTTCCTAACAAGAAGAAAATACCTGTAAACCTGATTTCATAAGTGATTTGTGTAAATGATATGTTATATTTAAACAATTACCTGTCGTCTTTTTTAGTGTGGAGGCCAGAGGGCAACTTCGGGTGTTTTCCTCTATCCATTACCCCCTCATTTTTTGGGACAGGGTCTGTCACCAACCCTGAAGCTCATCAGATCAGCTTGGCCAGCCAATGAGCTGCAGGGATCCGCCTGTCTCAGAAGCCACTGCCCACCCCTCCTCCAGCGCTGGCTTATGGGTGTGGATTATCACAGTTCTCTGTGTGCATGCTGGGAACTGAACTCGGGTGTTCATTCTTGCATGTCAGGCACTTTGCCAACTGAGCCATCTCCTTGGCCAAGAGATGGTTACCTATCGTCTTAGAATAGGCTGTTTAGTTGGCTTAGAGTAAAGCACTTTCTATATATTAGAATATTGGAATAGCTTTTGATTAAAATAAGAGGGTTTTTTTCTAATAAATTATGGGAAGGTTTTTGTTGTTTGTTGTTTTTTTTTGACTCTTACTCTAACAGTAGCTATGGCTTTTTGAATATACTGCATTGAGAAACTGAATCATTCCTTTAAGTAACCTTGTTAATTAAAAAAGAAAAAGTGGTTCTATTTAGTAGTCAGATAGAAAATTTGGCAAATCTCAGGGAAGTGCCGTAGATCTGTAGGGACACACCTCTGCCATCTGCTTCCCCTGTAGATATTCTTGCTCTCTTTTCCTCTCGTGTCTTTTCCCTCTGTCTTTCTATCTTAAGTTAAAATTACTGAAGCATATTTTCTCTCTGTAGCTGAGGAAAGTGTTAGGTTACCTTTTGTTTGGGTCAACAAGAGGAATAGCAAATCAGCCTCATTGAAGAAGTACACTTGCTTGTCCAGAGCCAGTGGAGTCAAGTACTTTCTGTTTTGGGTGCTTATCCCAGCATTCCTGTGTTCACCATGTCGCCTGATCCTTACACTAACCTGTCTATGTAGGTTGACCGTTTCACGAATGAAGAAGCAGAAGTACAGGCATTAAGTGTCCTAATCTTGGTCATCTAGCCCCACACCTGAGTTCCTAACTGATGACTTCCAGCATCTGCTTCCTCATTGGTATTTCTAAAATGCTTTTAGTACAGAAAACTTTTCCTACAATTTTACAGTATGCCTTTAAAATATCTGTATTTTATGTTTCTTTCTAACTTTGATGCAATAGCTTTCCTTAATATAAAGATGACCCAATGTTTTGTAGGTGCCATTGTTATAGAACGGCCAAATGTGAAGTGGAGTGATGTCGCTGGTCTTGAAGGAGCCAAAGAAGCACTTAAAGAGGCTGTGATATTGCCTATTAAATTTCCTCATCTTTTTACAGGTGAGATGGCTTCTAAGTAATTCGTGTGATTTTAAAATAGAAGGTAGAACATTATGAGTTCATGTCACCATATCATGAATTGTCTTGAATTCTAACAGTCAAGATGATCTTTACACAAAGATGTTTCATTTCCTATTCATATCTATAATTGAGTCTACGTTGCAAAATAACCTGATTGTCAACCAGTAGGGCTTAAGGAAAATCACTGGAATGCTGTGTACCCATTATAATATACTATATATCCATATTAGTAAATTTAAAACCACATAGCAATTTTTTTGAATGATGCCTACATCTATTATAAAGATCAAAAAGCAAGTTATAAAAATATATAGTGTGATTCCATATCTGTTAAGTAAAAGCATGCTGAGAAGTAAATGTAGGCAGGCTTTCTTAAAATGCTAAAGAATGCCTAGAGAATATGGTTTGGGGCAGTCTTTACTTTTCACTATTATCTGATTTTTGTGCAGTAGTCATGTACTAGTTTTTAGAGTATTTCCATTCCTTAAAAAGAGGAGTCACATGGGCTTGGGCGGAGCTCCTGCCTCCTTTCTTTTACCAGTTCTGCCTATGCTCAACCATGGTTGGCTTCGCTTGGAAGCATGGAGGAAATGATTCCTCTGTGTTGACCCTCCCCTTTATAGACTGGACACTGGTTCAAGTCCATCTGGTGGGGTCTTCTCGGCCTCCTTGATCAAGAGGACAGGTGACCCACCACCATTATAGGACATTCCCTGAGGAACAGATCCTCAAATGG